TGATGTAGAAATAACGAAGGAATAGCCCACGCCTGTCCATGAAACTTATGGTCCCTTGAAAAAGGGAGAAGGTACATATTAAAGAGCTGTAATTCCTCAACCTTTCTTCAAATGTTGATGTGAATACTCTCAAATTAAAGCTGAGTGTGCAATTTAAGCCTTTTCCAGAAGTGGTCTGGCTTTTTTAGATGTTTTTTTTTTTTGGCAAAGTCTAAGCTGACCTTTCTATTAAGTCTAATCTGGCCTTGTTTGCACCTTGTGGTGAACCCTCTGTATTTGCTCTCGTGAAGTCTTCTCTTGATTGTAGACTTTGACAGTGACACGTCTACCTCCTGGAGAGTGTTCTTCACTTGGCTGGATGTTGTTAAAGGGTTTTTCTTTACCCTGAGGTTCCTCTGATCATCCACCACTGTTCTCCTCCGTGGACGTCCAGGCCTTTTTATGTTGCTGAGGTCACCAGTGCTTTTTTTTTTTTTCTCAGAATGTACCAAACTGTTGATTTCGCCACTCCTAATGTTCCTGCTCCTGTCTCCGATGGATTTGTTTTGTTTTTGAAGCCTAACAATTGCCTGTTTCACTTGTATGGAGAGATCTTTTGACTGCATGATGTGGGTTCACAGCAACAGCTTCCAAATGCAAATTCCACACTTAGAATCAACTCCAGAACTTTTACCTGCTTAATTGATGTAGAAATAACGAAGGAATAGCCATTTAATAGTACATATTAAAGAGCTGTAATTCCTCAACCTTTCTTCAAATGTTGATGTGAATACTCTCAAATTAAAGCTGAGTGTGCAATTTAAGCCCATATTCATTATATAACTGCAACTTGAATATGTTTTGGTCAGCAGCTAAAATAATAAAAATTGTGCTTGTGTCCGAATATATATATATATGGACTCAACTTGCTAGAAGCAATCAAAACTAACAAAAGAGCAACAATATGTAAGTGCAAATGACAAATCTCGGTTAGCCTAACGCAGTACACGTGTGTATATATACACACACACACACACACACAAAAACAAGTAGATAGAATAGAAAAACGGCAGGAGAAATGGCTTGAAGGAGATGAGATGGAATAGGATCAAGTGGACAAGTAGTAGGATGATTGGAAAGGATAAGTTTACAGACTTCTGCCTCAGATAGTAGAGAGAAGGATGAACATGAGTGTATGTTTGCTGGTAAAATTTACATTCATATAATTTATATTCTAAATAAATATATTTAATATATAAAAATAACATATTGTTCTGAAATATATACATGCATGTGTGTGTATTTATATATACAGTACATAATAAATATACACAGTACACATACATATTGTCACACCCCTGGACTGTCTGTTGATTTGTTTTGCTTCCCATGTGCTCCGTGACCTAGTTTTCCCTTGTGTGTGACTGTGCCCATATTTGGTTATGTTCCTGTTCCTGTTCCTAGTGTGTTCATTTGATTCAGCTGTGTCTCATTGAGTTCCTCATATTTAAGTCTTGTCTCCCTGAATTCCTTTGTCCGGTATTGTTCGTCAATCCCCTGTGCTACGTGTGCATTCCTTTGGATAAATAAAGACTTTTTTGTTTTGTTTTCTGTTTCCCCCCCGTGGTCATGGAAACCGCCGCGAGATTCGCCGCCCTAGCCCGCAGGGATTTTCCCTTTGTGGAGTACGCCAGGGAATTCTGTGGGCTCGCCATTATGACGGCGTTAGATGACGCAACTCTGAATTCTCTGTTCTGAATTGGGGCCAACTACCATCGCCCCATCGTCTGGGAGAGTCTAGAGAGTGTCCGGCCCCGATTCAGAACCAGCCCGCTGTCCGAAGTCAAGTCCGCTGGCCGATTCCCTCCCAAGCTCTCAGCTGACAGCAGCCTGCTCCTTAACCCCAAATCAAAGGAGGAATATGAGGAGAAAAAGACTGTTGGCTCCAGCCCCTGAGTCCGTTCCAGTGTCGGCTTCAGCTCCTGTTCCCACTTCCAGCCCAGGGAGAGCTCCTGTTCCCAAGTTGGGCCCGGAGAGGGCTTCTGTTCCCACATTCAGCCCAGAGAGGGCTCCTGTTCCCACGTCCAGCCCAGAGAGAGCTCCTGTTCCCAAGTTGGGCCCGGAGAGGGCTTCTGTTCCCACGTCCAACCCAGAGAGGGCTCCTGTTCCCACGTCCAGCCCAGAGAGAGCTCCTGTTCCCAAGTTGGGCCCGGAGAGGGCTTCTGTTCCCACGTCCAACCCAGAGAGGGCTCCTGTTCCCACGTCCAGCCCAGAGAGAGCTCCTGTTCCCAAGTTGGGCCCGGAGAGGGCTCCTGTTCCCACGTTAAGCCCAGAGAGGGCTCCTGTTCCCACATCCAGCCCAGAGAGGGCTCCGGTTTCCACGTCCAGCCCAGAGAGCGCTCCTGTACGTCCAGCCAGCCCTGAAAGCCCAGAGACTCACAA